TATTTTCCCTATATCATTCGTAAATTTTCTTTCTATATTCTTCAAGATAAGATTCGGAAGTACCTTTGATTTGTTTAGCACAGATCAATCATACATCTGCATGCTTTGTTGCATAAACCTAAGTCTTGCATATGGCTATGTAAATCGAATATTCCAAACCAGTTATCATTGTAAAAGACCGTTTATCAATTAAAAAAGTTCTTACATTACCAGTTTAAAACAAATTCTAATCATGCTCATACAAGATAGTTAGTTTTTGTAATTTTTGAAATTATTGTTAAGCAAAAGCAACTTTAAGATGGATTTCATATTAAAAAAGAGACTAACTCAAAGATTAATTGTGTTAATAGGGATAAAAACCTCAAACCAGAAATTTTGCAAATTACCTCAGACTTTTCAGAGGATTGAGTTGCCACTCAATCCTCTGAAATAGTCTGTGGTAATTTTTAGTCTCTACACTATTTCAATATAAGCTCCATTTTTAAACAGTTTTTAAAAATCGAGCATTGAAAAGTGTGATGAGACATTCAAATTTCAAATTCAAGGTTTCGGATGTTACAATGAAGGAGTTAATTGCTTTTCATTCATATCATTAATATCATTTAAATACGAGTATAGAAGGAAAATTTTGAAATAAAAACTTCGGGATCATCAAGTTTTGAGAAGTATCACTTTTAATCCTCCTGAAGTTAGTTAGGGATATTTAATTATCATATGATTAGGAATCTTTTTAATAAAATTTTCCTTCATAATTAGATTCAATATTCTGAGCAATAGCATTTGAATGAATAAATTTAAAGCTTTCAAAACTTTCCTTGATGATGAGCCAGCATACATTTTGCTCACTAATTAAAAATCACAAAACAGAAATGGCTTGCGATCGAACTATCCATTCAAGTTCTCAATTTTTCATAAAAAAAATTTAATTAGCACATTGAAATGGAAATTCAATTAGTTAATTATCTTCGTTGAATGACTTCCCTACGCGTGTTGAAATCCTTCATGCAGTTAATCGAAAACTACACAGAAGACAATACAGAAGTAATAGGCTATAAGGTCCCTGTTCCTCTCATCTCTCCTGAGATGGCTGAAGCACTAATTAAAGAAACGATGACTGTTCTCCAAAATAAGCCAACTCTCGTCAGAATTGATGCACCATGCTATGTAGTTGGCGACATACATGGTAACCTATACGATTTGATAAGAATTCTTTCTATGGCTAAAATGCCGCCAATGTCTAGATATGTTTTTCTTGGCGACTATGTCGATAGAGGACAGTTTTCTTATGAGATTGTCTTATTACTCTTCGCTTTACAATGCCAATATCCTAACGATGTTGTACTTCTTCGCGGAAATCACGAATTTGCTGACGTTAATAGCGTTTATGGATTTTTCGATGAAATGTCTCAACTTGAAAATGGACAATATCTTTATGATCTTATGAATAAGGCCTTCGAATGGCTTCCTATTGCAGCAATTATTCAGAACAAAATTTTCTGTGTTCATGGTGGAATTTCACCAGATCTCAATGATATATCTCAAGTCGAAAAAATCGAACGCCCAATTAAAATTTGCGAAGATGAACTTTTAGCAGATTTGATGTGGAGTGATCCAACAAGTGATACGAAGACTTACGCTCGTAGTACAAGAGGTCTCGGAATTTCATACGGAACTTCATTAGTTCACGATTATTTAAAGAAAAATAGTTTGACTTCAGTTCTTAGAGGCCACCAATGCGTTCAGAATGGAATCCAAAAGGCTCTTGATGGCCAAGTATATACAGTTTTCTCTTGCTCTAATTATGCAGATGCTTTAGACAATAGATGCGGATTATTATTCTTAAATCAGACCTTAGAAATGCAATTCTTCTCATTACCTCCTCGTCCCCAGCTCGTGAGAGAGAGAACTTCATTTTATCCAGTCAATAAATCAACTATTTTCGAAAGCGAAAACACAGTTATTCCATTTTCAATAACTGCTAAGCAATTCGAAATAAAGAAGGCAATGCTTGCTGTTCCACTTCCAAAACTTCGCTCTAATTCTCAATGCGCGATGCCAAAGACAAATAGATTCGCTAGAAACCGTATGAAATATATATAGATTGTATGTTTATTTTTCTATATGTGTTAAAATTTATATACATGTATTTAATTTTCAGATTTTTGATTCTTTCAATATTTTTTCAAGTTTGTCCATATTACTCCATTAAATATTGCTTAGTTCTTATCATATTGCTCCTTTTTTACTTTAAAACAGCATAGTAATTGCTAAGGTTTGATATTTCATCTAGATTATTCTGTAAAATATTGTTTTTCGCCTTATATCTCATGTATTATCCTAATTTATATAAGAAAATTATCAGCAATGGAGTGATATTGCTGTAATATTTCCATACAGCTCAATTCATTATGAAAATGACACATTCTAGTATATCTACTGTTGAAAAGTAAGGTAATACTATTTGAAACAATCAAATTTTGTTGTGAGGCGAGCAAATCTGCATTGGCTATTCTTGAATACCTTAATCTTTTCAATTTCATAACTAATTTGACAATTTCAAATTTTGGAATGCACATTTATATTTTCAATATGCTATCTATTGCTATGCATTCCACGTACACTCCTAGATAAAAAACCAAAGATCTTGAATCTCAATTTATACCATGCAATTACAAATTAACATGCATATTTGAATAGTTTAGCAATAATAATGCATTTCTATGGAATCAGTATCCGAAATAGATTTTTGCCGATGGAAAAAGTGCCATTGATTTTCATATTATCCAAATTTAGAAAACAGTAAAATATATATCTAGTTCCAATCGGACTTATATCCTACTATTTTTTTCGAAAAAAAGTTCAAATACGAAAAAATTTGACATTTTTTCTCGCAGTAATTTAGAATTTCTTTGTCAGGAGGAATACTTACATAATAATATGTTTAAAAACCTCGTTTTGCGAAAATTAATTATTTATTTATGGTATTTCTCTCAATTTCTCCGACCTCTCAACAGTCAGATTTCCAATTTTTCGAAAAATAATTATACAGTATAAGACCTCAACATTAAGCCATCGTTTTTCTATTGTAATTTTTCTGAATCATTTGAGACTTTCAGAATCTTATTGAAATACTTTTTATTTTCAACATTGAAAATTTTGAATGAATTCGTTACACGTGAGACGTAATTTTACTTATAATAACAAGTACAATTGATTTATCAAAAAATAATTCAAAATCGGATCATTTCAAAACTTAATTAATTTTTTCAAACAAAATCTGTTCGATATTTGATTTAAAAAGGTTTATATCACTTTCAACAATGACTGAAGTCCCCTCCTAGATCAACATACATCGGAGGTTCAATCAACGGTAGATACAGACTCAGAGCAATACAGACTTGGTGGCCGCTCACCATTAAAGACTCTTTTTGCTCTTCTTGCAGGCCCACTGCTTAGCCAGCTCACACAATCAAGGGTCATTATTGATTTTGTAATTTAATCGTCGTCGTTATCGATTTTGTAATTTAATCGTTATCGTCTTTTTCTAAACGTGCATTTTTTGCTTTCGGAGCTATTGAACATACATTGGCCCTTACCAGCAATTGAAAACTATTTTTCATTATCAACAATTACATTACTCCGAGTTATTCATCAATCAATGAAAATCGATATATAGTCCATACTTCAATTTACAATATTGGCAAGTCCAATTTCACTTGGCATATTTAACTCATATAGAAAAACCAGTTGGAATCGGCAAAATTATCTTTAATTCCATACATAAGAAAAAAAAAATTATAAAGTTCTTCAATAATAGCAAACTAATAGTTTAAATAGATTTACAAGTATCGCCCATCTACTTTTGATATAATTCACATATTAAATGTAGAAAACTGGTTTAAAATAAATATTTCAAAAGTTCGAAAACGATTTATGAAAAAATAACGTGATGACATTTACTAAATTTGCTCTGTATTAAAGTATCGATGATAGAAAGAGCATATTTTGTAAATATTTCAAAAATATTTAAAAGTCGGAGAAATTGTATTGTAATGTACTATAATTATGTTACAAATCCGATTCAATACTAATCCTTCGCTATTGAAGTTGTTTTGAGAAGGATATTCTCTAAATTCTTGATAAATCTTTAAAATCTAGAGTAATCGTTTTGTAAACTTAACAAAACTAAAATGTATACCAATAGATTGGCATTTTCTACGTTTTCAAAGTGAGAGAGTGTAAATTCTTTTTTTTATCCTATTAAGGTTTTTAAAAAATTTAATTAACTTAATTTATATGATCTGAAATATATGACAAGTTAATATGGAGAATTCTTTCAACCCAATTTCAATTTATTGAATTTTCTATTCGAATTCAAAAATTTTCCCAAGAAGAAAAAATAATTAGGAAATTTAATATGTTAATACATAAAATATTTTATTTATTCAAAGAATTCAATTTTCTATTGGATCAAAAAACTTGTGTTAAAGTTCGTATTTTAAGATAACTATACTTTTAGAAGCTGTTTTTATTTTTTTCACCGGGATTTTATTAATTTAATTCTTTCAAAATTTGAATCTTATTGTATATCACCGGACTATGATCATAATAGAGTTGCAATCTCTAATTATAGCCACATTAGTACTCGTGGGTCGATATATCATGGGAGATACAAAATTATTTGAATTTTCTTTTATTTTTTTAAAAAATATTAAAAAAAGTAAATAAATAACTAACAACACAGCATCACTTTTCGTAAAATGCTTTAATCCTAGTCCTTTTTCCCCTTAATTTTTCAATCTCTCCCAGGTTGAAATTTATTCCGGGAATTTTTAAAGATGCTTGGTCAACATAAAATTTCATTAAATCTTCCACAGGAGTCATAAACTCTGAACATTTGAAGCGAGCATGAACTGCATCATTCAAATTTTTAAGAAGATTTTTGTTCGAAAAGTGATTCAATACGGCGATTACATGAATACAAGGTAATCCGTATAATTCGATGTGCTTACATGTGCATGAATATTGTGAATCTGACATAATTTTTACGCAATATGTATAGCGACCAAAAGTTGCATAATATAATTCTTGAATTGGATCATATAATACCGAGCTAAACATATCTGAATGTTTCAAAGTTTCATTTAGATTTTTGATAATATTATCTGATTTAAAATCACCTGTTAAAACATTTTTAACAAGATTGAATTCATGTTCAATGAGACGGATAATTAGTTCGGCGGGTTCATATGTATCCCATTTATCTTTAATTTCGGCATTAAGGGATTCAATAAGAGATGTTGTGAGTATGCCAGCGGTGTAGTCAGCGAATCCTTCAAATGGGTTAATACTATCTAAGTACTTAAAGAGATCCTGATTATTTTCGCGGTTTGGATATTCCTCTTGTAAACGAGTTTCTAACTTTTTAATCAAGTCAATTCGTTTTTGAGGATGGTCTGCGTAAGCGACTTCAACAATTTCGGAATAGACATTGATGTATTCCCTTTTTGTTGCAAAATGACGTAAGCAAAATTTATGATCGCAAGAAAAGCCTGATTCTCTAACAGCAGCTATAATTGCCGGACCTTGATCGGAATAAATATTCTTGAATCTGCTTGGTGGAATAAAAGATTTCAATTTAGTGAGCATATCCTTAATTGTTATCGTATTTTCACTAACAGACCATGCAAATGCAATAGGGATAAGTCTATTATTTGGTGCAGGTGTACCAATAATGAGTAAGTTTCCTTTTTTAATACAAAATAAAAACGTTCCATCAATTTGAATTATTCCGCAAAAAGCTTGTGTTTGCATGTAAAAATGAGTTATTGGAGGAATTACAATAAATGAATAAATTTGAAAGTCTTTTGAATTTTCAGGTAATTCATCACCTTTCTTAAATGTATGCAATTCAATTTCATTGTTAACTTCTTTAACTAAAATCATTTCGCAGAATCCTTGTTCGATTTTGTTTATGATTGAAAAAATTGTTGAGAAATAATTGTAAGATTGAATTCTATCCCCTTTGTGGTTCCTTTAAGTTTATTTACTATATTATGGAACATCGTATAAGTTGCATTGGGAATATTCAATTCTTTTGCAAAAATTTCTTTGCATTGAGGAACATTATCAGAATTTGCTAATTCATAGACTTTTTTTCCTGCTTGCAACTTAAGAATTTTTGGTATATTGTTACTCGGCTTGCATTGCTTTGCTCTATGCTCGTGTTTAATTACTGGAATGAAGAAAAGTTGACCATTTTCATGAGTCTTTACAAGCTCCATGCAAAATTGGCAGTTAGGACAACGAAACTTTTTTCCTTGCTCAAAATTTAATGGATAAAAAGAATTATATGAATCTTTTGCAATAAATATAGCAGCTTCTGTAGGATCTGTAAATTTTAATTTGCTATATCTTTCCTTGAGAATTGGAATTGGGGAATTTTCAGGTATTTCCATTCTATATTTCAATTTTTTACGGGAATTCAATTCATTTTGAATTAAATCCAGCATATCAGCTCCATCTCCTTTTTCTTCATCAACAATAGCTTGGATGGATACTGATATAGTTTGATTCTCTTCCACTATTGTCGGTTCGCTTTCCGACATGAGATAAAATTGAAGGTTTAACGTACTTTTGATACTCTGAGTTAAAAAAAGATTTTCTTAACATAATTTGATTTATTGGTCCTTAAAAAATTCTGATTCAAAATTGAATTGAATCGAACGAGTTTTCCTTTTGAGTCATTTCAAATATTCATGAGAAAGAAAAAAATTCTAGCAATTTCAAATATTTTTGATTTGATTGAATTCAAAAGTGTCACAAATATTCAATGAGAAAGAGAAAAGAGATCGAATATGTTGTTTCTGAGCGAATAGTCAAGCAATATTTCGTTAAGTACAAAGATCAGCATCCGGAAAAAAATAAATGGGTATATCAAAATGAGATTCCGCAAGAAATATTTGAAAAATATCTAGAAACGAAGAAAACAGAAAATATTGATGAAATGTTACGCTGTACTCGAATTGTTCATGTTGTTGATCAAGATAAAAAAGAATTTTATCTTGAATTTTCAAAAAAAAATCAAATTCATCACATATTAAACAAGAATCTAGATGAAGAACATCAAAAGGCTTATATAGATTATCTTGAAAGTTTACTCAAACTTGAAATAAAAAATAAAAATTAAATTAAATTAAATTAACCTTCGTTAGGATATCGTTGCAAATAAAGATCTGTTTCTCAGAAAGATCCTGATTTTCTGATAAATATTCTGTTGTAACTTCTACAAGGTTTAAGATATGAAAAACATTTTTGAATATTTCATCGCTATCAAATCTGCGGAAACATCTGGAATATAATTTCAAATATTTGTGAAGATTTGAATTCTCAATTGCATAATTAATTAAAAATTCATGTGAATTTAAAAAATCGGTAGATAAATTTGCATGGGTATAAGAGGAAGTACACAATAATACCCCTGAACTACATACTCTGTAAATGAATAGTGAGGAGAAAGACTTCGCAGAATTTCAAGTGTTTTTATGAATTCTAAAGCCATCTCAGATGTTATATCGACTGCTTTATAAAATAAAACTATAAATTTGAGAAGATAAACAAAATCTTCGTTATTTATAATTGAATTCACGTCATTAAAAAAGTTGAAATAATTTGATATTAGTATATCCGAACATGGAAGAGCAGTTGCATATCCTGGGTAATATTTTAATAATTTTGTAAAGAAATTTGCAATTGCATAAGTTGAATATTGATTTTCGTACTCAATAATACTAGAAAAAATTTCTTTCTTGAGTAAAACTGCGTTTTGGAAGAATTCAACGTCAAGAATATTGTTTTTAATCAAAGCAATAAATGTATCGATGATATAGAGAGAATTGTCACTGCTGCTTATGAAACGTAATATCTCATCATATTGATCGGAAAATGTTGATAAATAAAGGTATTGTATGTTATCTAAAGCTTTAAAATGAATTAATTTTAATGAAAAAATGAAAAAAATCTGGTTAATATAATGCGATAAATATTCGAATAAATTTTCCAGTAGTATCAAATCTATTTGAAAGATATTCGAAGAAGTGATATTTTGAATTGTGAATTTTAATATTGTTTCATTTTGTGTAGATTGCTCGATAATGAAATGTATCAAAAGATTCATTGAATATGAGTCAATGGAAAAGCTTAAATCCTTAGGGATATCCAAAATAAATCTTAATAAAGAAGATTCGTCTTGAAAATTAGCTTCCGAAAGTTCTATTTCAGTCGGAGCTGGAAGATTCCGATCATTTATGAATCTCGAAACGACAGAAAATTTGTATTGTTTATATTTCATTATTCGAAATGATAAACTTCAAAATCTAAAATTTATTTTTTTACAATATATTTCATCCTATTGTCAAGGCTAAATTTTTCACCGGAAGTGTATCAAAAATTGATAAGATTTACGGTGATCTAATTATGACAATTCAATGCATCTCGTGATATAACGCAGATATAAACACAACTGATATTGCATAACTAATAATTGAGTCAAATAACTAAATTATGTGTTATATTTTACACATATTTCTTCAATTTTGTAATAAATGGATGTTTAACACTAATTTTTTAAGGACTTCGACTTTAGCATCACATAAATATGTTATTTTCTATATTAAAACGTAATTTTGGTGGTCTTAGAATAGAAAAATATGCAATATTCGTGGAGATAATGAGGGTTCTTAAACATGTTCTTAAAAATAAATAAAATAATACAAATCTTTATTCAATCTTTTGATATTGTTGGTCCTCTCTTTGTGAAAATACTTAACTTCAAAGAGTATTATGTTTTACCTAGTGAGGACCTTAAGTTTGCAAAAACATAATAAAAGTAAAATAAAAAAGATCGGATTTATCACAAAACTTTGAGTATTATAGGATTTAATATATTTTCTTAGTAGATTATATGATTTAGTTTCTTAAAATCTAAAGTATTTCTTGAGGAAAATATAAATTGAAATTCAAAAAGTAAAAAAAATGTAAACAAATCAAATTTTAAATGGACCAAATGTTGATTTTTCATTCGTTTTCTCATTATCGAAAAAAATTTGGAAAGCTAAGAAGTCAATAACAAGTTATATAATACAAAAAACCCACATCGGATATGTTTTCATCAAATAGTCTCCTAGATTTGTTATGAAATTAAAATATCATGATATTTTAAGGGCTTTTGATTTCAATATTAGAATTATTCAGTTATGTCGTGCTAATATCAATTGCTTTATACAATTAATCGTTTACAAGCTGCAAAATCGAACAATAATTTGACTTTGTAAAAAAAGTGCGTCATTTTTATTCGTTATACTTACAAAATGTAAACATTACGAGAAACATTTACATTTGTAAATGTAACAAGTAAAGTTGTATCGCATTTGACTTTGTAAAAAAAGTGCGTCATTTTTATTCGTTATACTTACAAAATGTAAACATTACGAGAAACATTTACATTTGTAAATGTAACAAGTAAAGTTGTATCGCATAATTTGACTTTGTAAAAAAAGTGCGTCATTTTTATTCGTTATACTTACAAAATGTAAACATTACGAGAAACATTTACATTTGTAAATGTAACAAGTAAAGTTGTATCGCATAATTTGACTTTGTAAAAAAAGTGCGTCATTTTTATTCGTTATACTTACAAAATGTAAACATTACGAGAAACATTTACATTTGTAAATGTAACAAGTAAATACATCAGATTTAAATTGTAAATGTAGTTTATCTCTCTCATCTCCTTTTTAAAAGGTATTACATACATACGAACGCATGGGTCACTCAATAATTAGCGTGATAATAATTGAGGATAGACTGTAATCGTAATTTTATTTTTGGACTTATATTTCGACATTTTGAAGTCGCTTGAAAGTCTTGCAAATGATTAAATTTGGAAAATTTGACCTAAGTCTGCATTATTTTGATGACTTAAACAATTCTATAAATCTTTTCCTAAAAATTTAAAAAATATAATTTCAATTTCCCTAAATTTATGTAATTCATATATCACCAAAATATTTGGACTGCATTTCGTTTGTCTGCACCTAATTAAAGTCTAAATACCAATTAATTTTGGAGTTGCATTGCTTTTAATGTAAAAATGCACGTTTAGAAAAAGACGATAACAATTAAATTACAAAATCGATAACGACGACGATTAAATTACAAAATCGATAACCTCTCCACAATCAATTTATGGTATTGTAGACTCACTTTGGATTTCCAAGACACATGGAAATTTCGGTCTCAATGTAACATCATCAATCTATCTCTTTGATGAGCTCATTTTTTCATGCGGTGAATTCATGCTCATCTCCATCAGCAGCAGAGTTGCATTTCTTTTCGGAAAAGATCTCAAGAATGAAGCATCTCAAGTAGTTGTTGACTTATTTAGATTTGCTTTCATTTTCGGTCTCATTATTGCAGGAACTCTTCTTCCATTCGTTCCAATGGTTACAAAATGGATCTCTGGTTCCGATGACGTTGCCCGTGAAGCTTTCAAATATGAAATTCCACTTCTTGGTTTCTCTTTTATCCAAATCATTTTCTTACTTGGTACAGGCATTCTCCAAGGTGAAGGCAGATCATGGCTTGCTGGAATGTTCCAGATCTTATCCCTTTGCATGATTATGTTTTTTTTGATCCACTTTTCCTTGTTTACTTCAAGATGGGTGTTTGGGGTGCATCTCTTGCCACAGTTATCGCCCAAACAATTGTAGCAACAATCATTTTCATCTACATCTTTTCAGGAAAGTTCTCATTGAAATTCCATTTCCAGTTGTTCTTCAACAAGCCATCTCCACATTCATACGATGCTCTCAAAGTTGGCGGTGGTGCTTTCATGCTCTATCTCTCAAGCGCTATTCCAGGTTTTGTTATGCAGAAATACATTACCTTAACAGCCGCTGCAATCAATGAAGTTACACCAGTTTTAGCCTTACTTGATACATTTAACAGACTTTACGAACTCGGCATTTCAATTACTTATGCTTTTGATGCTTCATTCCTCCCATCAGCATCATATGCTTACGGCAAACGCCAATATCGCCGTATCCACAAACTTGCTGGCCATACTCTTTGGATTTCTGTTGTTCCATCAATGATTTATTCTGCAATTGTTTCAGCAATTCCAAAGAAGATTGCCTCGTTCTGGTCTACTGATGAAAGATACCTCTACTGGGCACAACAGCTCTTCCCAATTGGCTACTTAACACTTTGCACATGGCCAATTTCCTCAACTTTTTTGACATATCTTGAATCTACAGATTATCCACTCCGTGCAACAATCTCCTCTGTAATCACATCGATTACTCCACTTCCTCTTATTTCCACAATTATATATTTCTCGAAGAGAAACAATCTCTAACTTCTCTTCACTTCTTACATATGGCAGAACATCGCCCAAGTTCTTCTTGCCATTCCTTTCGTTCTTGGTCCGTTCTTATCTATTTACAAGACAAAGGACGGAGATGCAATTCAGGGCCACGAAGCTCACTCGGATTCTGACACATACAACTCTATCCAGTCAATCCCTGATCCAGAAGTTCCTCATCAGACTGCTTAATCTTCATATTTCATTAATTTAATAATGAATATAATATGAACCGGTTGTTTATATATAGTTAGCTTCAATATTATTTTGTTTGTAATAGTATTGTTTGTTTAGATGTCTAAACAATTGTTTGTATGATATTTATAATAAATCAAACTGATTTTTAATTTATTCTCAGGAACTGAAAGAAAAGATATAGTACATTCAGTTATACTAGCTATATAAATCCATACTATCAATTATTTAGCTTAAATTGCAAAAAAATATTTGATATATTTGATTTTTAAAAAATCATTTATGTTTTTATTCACAAAAGATTAAATTCATATTTGTCTGTTAAGTGTTGCATTTGTAAACTGTGTTCGCATGAAAATAGGGGAAAAACATCTAATATTTTAAAATTTATATGCCTAAACAAAACAATCCAAGAATGTATATGCTTAAAACATATAGTATACCAATTTTTTAAAGAGAGAATGAAATAATTGTTTAATTTGAAAGAAAATAATATTAAATAATTTCATTTTATCAAACAAATACATACAAAAATAATAAATTATGTTTGATGAACTGCAGAAATCATTTCCTGCATTTCGTTTTCTTCGACTTCTAATATGGTTCTTATATTCCGCAAAGTCTTTTTATCATCAAGAGTTCTAAGTCTTGCCAATTCTATCTTAAGTCTTTCCATTCTCTGTTGGACTCTTATCTGAGCTCCAGTTCTCATTTGATTAACTCTAGCCATCTCTCTTTGCGTCTCAAGTCTTGCTTTCTGGTCTTCTTCAGACAGCATCTTAGACCTCTGGAATTCATAGTCTTGAGCAAGTTTTCTACGTCTTGCTTGAGTAATTTTCTCATCTCTATCAACAATCTGTTTAGCAACTGCGAGCATGTCTTTTGATCTTGCTTGTTCTGCACGCATATCCTTTTGCTCTGATTCCTGCAAGAACTTTTCCCTCTTCTGTTGGTTCTCTGCTTCGATTGCGTCCCTTGAAATTTTGACTCTGTTTAGTTTTTCTTGTTCGTTTTTAGCAATTTCTCGGTATTTCGTCTGAACTCCTTCAGCAATCTTAGCTCTGTTCTCTCTAAATTGATTTTCTTTGCGATTTATTGTTTCAAGAAGAGCATTTCTACGATCTTCTTCTCTGGATTTTAATGTTTCATTTATTTCTACGTAGGATCGGATTTGTGGAGGAACTCTTGAAAGCCTTGCTGTCTGAGCTTGCTTTTGCCAGTTTTGGAATCTGTTCTCGCTCTTCTCAATACTTTGTTTCATCGTATTAATCTTTTCATCAAGAAGTTGCTGCGATCGCTGCCTTGCTGATTGTATTTGACGTTCTTTTTCTACCCATTGATCGTGTCTCTGTTTTGCAATTTCTTGACGAATTTGATTTCTTCGAAGCTCGGCAGGATCTGGCTCTGAAGGACGATATTCTGGTGGTGTAAATACCTTTTCACGTGATTTGAACTCGAAATTCATTGCCCTTATCTGAGCAGTTCGTATTTTTTCTGCTTGTTGCCGAGCAATTTCAGCGGTTCTTGATAAAGTTTTTTGCATCATTTGCTCAACAAGAGTTTGAGAATGTATTTCACGTAGACGTTTCATAAACATGTGCTTGAGAATGTTATTAGTTTTTTGTTCTTGCTGTTGAATAAGCATTTTATCTTTTTCGATAAAAATTTTATCTCTTCGTACATCAGCACTTACAACTCGGTTATCAGATTTTTCATTTAGTACTTCTTGACGCTTTTGCTTGATTTGATCAATTAAACTTTTTCGGTTTTCTTCAAACTTCTTGTAAAAGAACTGTGTAACTGTATCGTCACAGCCTGCTTTTGCAAATGTCTGGGGATTTCGAGCGTTAAGCTCATTTAATGAGATTCCAAGGCGACGCATTGCTTCTAAAGATGCAGGTTCATTAATATTGCATTCCTGGTTCATCATATTGAAATTTTCTATTGTAATAAAAGGCCGCGGTGGCGGCAATCCTTCGTTATTCATACCAACGGATTTTAATTAATTTTGTCACTTTTATAATACATTTTAGAAAGATTTTATGCGATCATAGAAGAGGAATATCGATTGATAAATCCATTGATGAGAGAGACATAAACAATCTACTGGTATATAGCATTATAATTTAGAGTTTTGAGATAGTATATTTCATTTACACTCCATTGAAATTTTAAATAGTCTTTTTATCAACCTCAAAGAACAGACATACTACCATTTTCAAAGACTCAATAAGATATTAATATGCTCATTAATGTAAAGCTCTGTTTAGTTATATCTGGCATTCTCAGTTGTGATTGAGTCATATATTGTATATTATTTCATTATCTAAAGCTATCATCTGTTCCATATGGCAGTATTTTTTATCTTTTCTAATTGATAATTTATTGTTTTTGTTTCTTTTTTGTAAATTTTTTCCAATAGTTTGATATAGATATCATATCTTTTAACTGTGCTTGTATATTTTTTGAATGATTTATTTTATGTTAATATATAAGTCATGATTAGTTATGTCAAAGGATATATTTTTTGGAATTTTTTTTTATTTATTATATATTTTTACAAATTAAGTTTTTTTATATATATTTTTGTTATTTCTATTATTATAATTTTTAAATGATTGATTTTGTTTTTCATATATAATGGCAATTTTTTGAAATCAATGTGCGGGTGAGTAGTCTAGTGGTATGATTCCTGTTTTGGGTACAGGAGGTCCCGGGTTCAATTCCCGGCTCGCCCCATTTTTTCTTTTTTCTTTTTCTTTTTTTCCTTTTCTTTCTCTTTCGAAAAATTTTTCTTTTGCTCACTCTCTCTATATCATTCTTTCATCTATTTATCGTCATTTATGACTATTGAAAGGATTTAGATCAACATGCATTTAAAAAAATTGTCTATATTTCTTTTGTCTGAGTTTCTTCTTGATCTAACATCTTACACAATAGGATTTTCAAATAAACATGCATCCAAACAATACATGCGAATAAGATCGTTTTAAGATCATCATGCACAACTTTTCAATCTAAACAATATATTCATGATATTCATAATATCTTTGTGTGAAATCTGAATTAATTGCCAAGCATTTAGTTTTGAAATCTTCAAATGATCCCCATGCAATTAACCATGCAAGTGAATCTTTTGGATAAATTTCGATCAATTTTGATTCTTCAATTTTATAATAATCGCAATCAATTGAAACCCCACGATTTCTGAGAAAGCAGGCAAATTCTGGAGAATGAAGACTATAAATTCTATTGTGAGAAATTTCAATCTTTGATAATGTGTCAGCTAGAGCAGTTTTACGCAAAGGTCTCTTTTCTGCAGCTTTGGTGAAAACTTTTTCTATATATTCTATTGTTATTCCATTTTTGTTTAAATTTTCATCAATAAATTTGTTAATTTCTTGTTCATTCCAGTTGTCATCATCCCAGATCATCCTTTCAAATTCGATAATCAACTTGAATTCGTCTGGAACCTCAATGTCAGAGAAATTTTTGATTGAATACTCATTCATCACTGAATTATTATGAACTTGTAAAGGAGAAACGTAATATATGCGGCTATATTATATGTATTATCTCAACTTCTTACGTAATTCATTAATAAATTTTGAAATTAAGATTAATTTGGATAAAAAAAGAGAGAAGATGTAAAAAAAGAAGATAAAGATAGTTTTATTGTACAAAAGTAATATAATACAAATAAGCAAAGATGCAATTCACAAGTTGGCAATCAACTCTATCTAATATTCCTCCATGGCCTGGAATTAAGTGAGAGAAGTCCTTGATACCGAGTGATCGCTTGAATCCAGAAGCAAAGAATCCTCCAAATGGAGAAACTAAGCTTGCAAATAGAGCAATAACAGTTGCATGAATATAAGCTGGTAATATTGTGAACTTCTTATCAAATATCTCGTAAGTTGTTGGAACAAACTCTTTTGGTGTAACACATTGAACATTGAAATCAAATGGCTTTGAATGTCTGCAGTAAATGTATGGAAATTGCGCTGCGATATATGTTGCTCCAATGAATACTAGAGGTGTAAGGATAAGTGCACCAACAAAACCTTCGACTGTCTTATTTGGAGATAATTTGATAAGTTGATGACGGCCAAATAAACGGCCGCAGAAATATGCTGCTGTATCATTTGCAACTACGCAGAAGATTGGAATGGAGAACCAAAATAGAGATGTGTCTGCAAACTTTGTATAGAGATTGCATGGAATTCCAATAATAAAAGCACCACAGAATGCATATGTGAATCTCTTGTATGCATATTGGTCGTTTTCTGGTGTCAGTCCTGTGACGAATAAGAATAATGCTAACATTACAATCAAGAACACTGCAATATAGTGAAATCTGGCAATTAAAGTATCAGCTATGAAATAGTGAAGAATTGTCTTTCCTGAAATAAGGTATGTCATTGCAAAGAGAAGGATATATGGGAAAACTTTGATTCTAAAGCCAATTGGCTTCTCTTTTTCTGGCTCAATACTAAGGTGTAATAACTCTCTAAATCCTAAGAATTCAATGATTAAGAGCTCGGCAAATAAAGGATATTTTCCAATGCACATGAGAAGAACCTCTGTTCCAATAATGACTACTGCTGATATCGTACGGACTAAGAGGTCACCCCATTTCGAAGACTTGGCAGGTGGATGCTCACGCTTTGATGTCATTCTGAAAATAAAATTTTTGAATCAATTATTCCGATCACGCGTTTGAATTTAAAATTGAATGAACTTGATCGGAGTGTTGATTGACATTACACCGCAGTATTTTTGATAAAACAGAACCGCATGAAGAATGTAATGTATCTGATCTGAACGAAAAATGAAATCATGAATATATTGTTTAGATTGAAAAGTTGTGCATGATGATCTTAAAACGATCTTATTCGCATGTATTGTTTGGATGCATGTTTATTTGAAAATCCTATTGTGTAAGATGTTAGATCAAGAAGAAACTCAGACAAAAGAAATATAGACAATTTTTTAAATGCATGTTGATCTAAATCCTTTCAATAGTCATAAATGACGATAAATAGATGAAAGAATGATATAGAGAGAGTGAGCAAAAGAAAAATTTTTCGAAAGAGAAAGAAAAGGAAAAAAAGAAAAAGAAAAAAGAAAAAATGGGGCGAGCCGGGAATTGTAAGTGTTTATTCGGAAAGGGTTAAGACGAGCGAGCGAAGCGAGCGAGCAAAGTTTTAGGTGAGCGAGCGAAGCGAGCTACTTGGGTGGAGGTGGGGCAGGATTTGGTCTAGGTGGATTTGTTGTTGGTGGTTTTCACTCCAATGAGTGTATCATGGATGTGGTGCTAGTCTGTTATCAGACCATACGGACTGATGGATGGGAGGTTAATATTATTATCTGTTTGAGGGAGGGTGAGTAATTTTCGTGGTGTCTCTTTTATTTTGGCTTGTGATTCCTAGCACGGAATCCGGTGTTTGGTACACGTTTCGTACCGAGTGACATCGCTTAAGCTCTGCCAATCCTACTATGCTTCTGTTCTTCTCACTCGTCTTATCTCTTCTTAGTTAAGGAATTCGTCCTCATCGGGTTGGTCTAAGGCTTGTTCTATCGCGTTGTTCTCAGCATCTTCTTCGATGATTTGATCAACAGAGATAGTTTGTTCGGTTGAATTATTTATTTGTTCGCCTTGGCCATTGTCTTCTTGAGCATTTCCATTGTTGGTTGGTTGCTCTTCAGAGGTTGCCTGTTGGTTCTCCTGACCATGATCTGTGTCGTTATTGTTTTCATTGTTGTTTGGTGGGATCGCTGCATTGGGAGCTGTGACTCGTCCTGGGAGGGGACGGCAGCGCATACCGAAGAATTCTGGCACTTTTTCAAAAACAATGCAAGCACTCGCAGCTATCGCGTGCATCGAAAGTCTCTTGAGTAGCTGTATGTGATCTGCAGGTGAGATTCTCAATGCGTCGAGTTTTGTACGGAGAGGGATGACTCCTAGTGATGAGACTACGATAATTGAGAGCGTCGTGGTCCAGTTAAATAATCTCTCTGTTTGTTCAGCAAGGCTCTTATACTTGTTAACCTTTTTGTCGTATGCCGCGTCAAGAGAGTTGCCAACATTGTTGTCCGTGCCGTAAGGGCATGTGACTTCAATGATCTTGATCATCTTGTTCGCTTCATCGTAGACAACAAGGTCTGGGAGGAGATCTTTAACTGTGTCGTCGAGCTCTGGGCCTGTTGTTTGGTAGCCGTCACTTGTAATTCTCGCCGAGCATTTGATGGTTACTCCTGGATAGTGATCGTGAATGAATTGGTAAATGTCATCGCATATGATATTGTGGCGCCATTTGTATAGACTGAAACGGTTTCTGCACATGTTCAATGTGTGGAAGAGAGTGCAGGATTGGCATCCGCACAATGGACAATTAGCCAAAACTTCTGGGTTGTGGAAGTGCATGTTTGCTGGGGTTGGAGCTGTGTTTGTACGGAGAGCAATAGCCGCTGAGTAGAGGTTGTTTGGAACAGCTTGTGGTCTCTTCATGATGTCGTGTGACTCCGCTAGCGCTGCTGGTTCGCAGAAAGTGTGTGAGTGTGTTTCGTCTTTCTTGAACTCCTCGTACTGCCTCTGTTGGATGACGCGACCGATTAAGGGTGAGATTTGGCCGATGTGTTTCGAGCGGTACCAGTCTGTTGCATTTTCTCCTACACCTCTGACTTGTATGCCTCCTTTGTCCCATTCTTTGAATCTGACTTCCAGTTTGTCTGCTGCTTTAGCCGCCTGTGTGATGAAACAATTTGTGCGTTTGGATCTTTCGTTCTTCTGGACAATTTTGCCGTTTTCCATCTTGATGCCTAAGAAACCATTTTCTTGGTCTTCGACGACCTTGCGGAATGACTTCTCTTCTTGAGCCATTGTGTGAAAGAAGGCTTTGGTTTCTGCTTGTTGACTTAACCATAACCTCGCAAATTTAGTGAGAACGAGCTGAGGCTGGCGAAGTTCCAATTTAACGAGTCCAAAGCCGCCTTTGTTCTTCGGCATGTAGAAAAATGAAACCGGAATGTTTGACGTCGGCGCTTCTTTGTCGATCAGGCCTCGGATCATCTGATCTGTCGCTTTCAAGTCATTGACTCTGAATACGTTGTGGAACATGTAAAAGTCAAGTTGTGGCAAGATGAAGACTCTGAGAGCGATAATCTTCTGAGAGAGAGCGAGATGTGACGCGAAGACGACTCTGATCTGTGCTTTGACCTTTTCCAGAATGCCAGTTGCAGCTGCAAATCTTGATGTCTTTGTTCCAGAGATTGGTATTCCAAGATATGTGATGTTGTCCATGCTCGTCTTGATTGGGATTTCGTCTGGACCAATGCGGAAAGGTTGGATTGCAGTGGATGTTTTGGCAAGTGTGACGCATTTCTGTGGTGCAACTTTGAGTTTCGCAATTTTCTGGAATTCATCTACTGTGTTTAAGATTCTTTGCATTCCTTCATGTGTTGGAGAGATGACTAGAACGTCGTCAGCGTAAGCTTGAATGGCAATTGAATACTGTCCTGCTTTGTCTTGGAATCTGTAACCGTCCTCAAAGTGTCTCCTCTGGACTGCATATAATAAAGGATCTAAGCAGCAGTTGAAGAGGATTGGACTGAGTGGACAGCCTTGGATGACACCTCTGCGAACCGGAACTATCTCGGAGTGTGCATGTCTTGTATAGATAGCCGTTCTTGCTCCTTTGTAGAGGTCCTTGAGCAGATTGATGATCGAATCGGGAACTTTCTTCGCTTCGAGAGAATCAAAGATCAATTGATGAGGAACTGTGCCGAAAGCGTTCGTGAAATCGATTGCTGTTTGGAACATTTCAGACTGTGTTCTGGTTGATTGGCAAAGGACTTCGTTCGCGACTGCAATGTGCTCACTCAGTGTTGCTCCGCGAACGAAACCTTTTTGCATTGCGTGGAACATTGGGATCATCTGTAACGCTTTGTTGACTAAAGTCATGAAGATTCTGTAAGTGCATGACGTGATGCCGATTGGTCTCCAGTTCTTTGCTAACGATGGGTCGTCCTTCTTAAAAAGCATCACTGTCTTGGAGAGCTTCCAGCAGTCTGGGATGTGACCTGATATGATGATTGATCTGAATAATATACTGAGGAATTTTGCGGCGCTGACTGGGAATAGCATGTAAACTGAGTTCGGAATTCCATCGAGGCCGTGTGCCGATAAATGATTCTTGTTGCGGATTACTTCGATGATCTTCGATTCATTTGTCATGAAGTCGAGGAAGTCGTTTGCGAAAGCTTGGCCATATCTCTCCGGTAACGCGTAGTCATGATGCAGGAAGTTTTCGTAGCCTTCAGCTTCGTTTGCCCATTGAGGTCCGTAGTAATCAAGGTATTCGCTTGGCTTCAATGATTGTTGTGGAACTTTGTCGGCTAAGATTATGTTTCTGAGAGTCTTTGTTGGGTTATCGGCGAAACATGCTTGTAACTTCTTCCTTGCATATGGTGATGCATCCTGTGGTGTTCCGAGAATTCGGTTAATGTAATCCATTTTCTTGATGAATTCGTTGTTGTCCTCCATGTTGACGATGTTGAGAATACTCTGGTCGGAGATCGGTCCTTGAAATATTTCTTCAATGTTATATTGTTCGAATTTGTTATCTCTGAGATCGTTTTTGATTTTTGCAATCATTTCGACGAATTTATTGTGTTCATCGTCTCTCGTGCTGTCTTTGAGGCATCTCGCGTGACTTATGTGTTTGACTACTTTGATGAGAGTTCCTTTTATTTCATTGGCTGCTTTTTGAATGCGATCTCTTGTGTCTTCCGATATCCTTGGCGGTGGTGCTGTGTCTTCTCCTGTGTCTTCTCCATTTTCTGCTGTCATAAACTTTGGTTCGCTGTGGTTATTGGTGTAGATCATTTCTCTCAAGGCGGCATTGCATTTTAGTGTCAAGTAATCTACCTTGATTTTGTCTGCTTCTGTATTTCCTGTAGCTGCGTATCTTGTGGCTAATGGAGTGAGTTTCTTGTTGAAAAGTTCTCCTCCTCCTTTCAATAGTTTTAATCGGACGAGTGATGTCATTTTCGGTGTAACGCAGCCTCTCTCTTCTGCTTGTTGGAGTTCTGGAATGTTTCTTCTTGCCTCGGCGATGATGGCTACCTCTTCCTCTTCTGTTGCTGGTGGATTGATGATGACGGCATGAACCGCTTCATCTTCTGTCTCTGTTGTGTTATTTGGCGGGTCGAGGGCATCTGCTTCTTCGTTGTTTCCGTTGTCTTCTTGGTTCTCGTTGTTCTCTTCATTGTTGTCAGCATTAATTATCTGTTGTACTGGAGTGTTGTCTACTTGCTCTGCTCTTTCTCTTGCTCTCTCGGCATGTAATGCGTCGAGTTCTTCTTTGGTAATCCAGCAGTATGTAGCATCAGTGTGCGCGATTTCTCCGTCTACTCCTGCTGTTGTAGACTTATGTTTCTTCTTTAGATGTTCTTTGATGTCGCTCAATTCTGTTACATATGTGTTGCATCCTGCTTCTGGACATTTGCGACAAGCGTGTTCTTTGATGTCTTTGAGTGTCGGGTAGACGATTCCTTTTGGTCGGTTGACTCCTTCTATGACAATACCCCAAAAGAAGCCGTATCTCTCGATGTATACGTTCTTGGCGTGTTTCTTCGTTTTCATGTGGTCCATGAGTTTTGATCTGTCGTTGTTC